TCCTTCCTTCCTTCCTTCCTTCCTTCCTTCCTTTCCCTCCCTTCCCTCCCTCCCTTCCCTTCCTCCTGTCTGTTAGTGTCTAATACATAACGTGTTTGAAGAATAAGATTTGATGCTGATAGTTTACATGGATTCACTACAATTTCTTGTCATCTTCATGAATTTCAAAGGAAAATGCATTTTCCAGAATGGGCACAAGAAAAGAAAACAAACATCGCCCTGATAAAAGTTCCTGCAATTCCAGGGTCATGGCAACAAAAAGTAATCTTAGAAATTTTTACTGGAAGAATGAATAGTACCATCATGTGCCCTGTTTGCTTCATTAGACTGTTGATGAAACTTTTGCTCATTGATAATACAATTTCTATAAGCCAAAAAGACGTGCAAGTTTATATAAAAGCATGCAAAGAATTTTCCTGTCGATAGACTGTTATGATATTCAACATCAGGGAGCAAGCCACTGTAAAACAAGTTTAATAACGAAGTTTTTCAAAGACAAGTTAAACAGGAGTTGAGACTTCTAATACAGACATTAGAACAAGATCTTAATTGCACATAGAGCTCACGAATTCCTTCTGAAATAAAACAATGGGTAAAAGACAAAAGAGGCAAAGAGAGATGCACACGCATTTTGTGCATGTTACACTCAATTGAAGTCCTTTGCTGTGGCTTGAGCAATTCCCTCTTGTACTGCAAAACTTCTGGCTAGGAAAAGAAATTGTTTGTCCTTTGCATAATAGTAGGAGAACTGCTATAGTGTTACAGGAAACTGAAGAAGTCCATCTCTTTCTTATAGCCACTTCAGTTTCTAATTAATTGTGTGCAAACATCTGTTGCAGAATTTTCTGTGAGAATACTCAAAGAATCTGAGCTGCTTATTTCAGATGATCCAATCAGATGATCCATGATTCAGCCAAACCACTCAAGTTCCAAACTCTTAGTTGAAAGTTTCACTGCTTCTTCTTCAGTTGAGTTTCTAGCAAAGACTGATAACTCAAAGGCCTGTGATAAATAAATCTAGAACAAGATATTGAAGACATCTTTTGTGAAAACCTTTTCCAGGCATATCAAAGCATTACATTTAAAGATTGGACTTCTCCTGCCTAACTTCAGGTGTATGAAAAGTCTAAACCAGTCTGGCAGTAAGAGGCATTTGCAGATGATTCACCAGCTCTAAAACAAATGTTGAGGTCATCCATTAGAGAGCCTCTGGAGTAGCCCATTTCTTGTGTTGGCTGCAGACGGAACCAGCACATAACTTGCTAATAGAAAGCTGACCTCTGAAATAATGTTCTAAGCCAGGTATATGGAAGCCTTCATTGAAAGAAAGAAAAAAAAACAAACAAAAAAAGCTCTACAAATTTCCGCTTTTCCACTGTGGCTTTAGGAAAAAACCTTTTGAAAAACATATGAGTAAAACAAATTATCCTGGAATTTTGTGATGGAGGTGATGACTGATATTTATGTTCATGGAAAGGAAATCTGGGTTAACCAGAATAGGCCCTGGAGTCTGTGGAGGTGTACTGTGTATGATGTTTCAATGCATCAATAAACTCTGACTGGGACCCAGAGCAGTACTTCTACCCAGCAGATAAGGTTTTAGGTTGGAAGATTATACACAATACTGTTAAGGAAGGTTTTAATGTTTAATTTATTTTCCTCCACTAGGCTCTGTACTGTTGTGGGTTTGATCTCCATATGGGCCATTCACTTAAGAGTTGGACTTGCTGATCCTTCCATCTCAGGGGATCGCTTCCATCTCAGAATATTGTGATCTAATACAGAGTTTACACCTGCCTGTTTGCAATGCAAGGATTAGCAAAAAGAAGCACCACAACTGGAAAGAATCAGCTCACTGAGAACAGATTTTATTTTCTCTAGACTCTAGTCTTTAATTTTTGGTAATTCTTGGTAATGATGATTGTATTTGAAGAACCATGGCAAGTACTCTATTATCTTTTCTATTTAAGGAAGCAAAAATTTATTCTAATTTTGAGAATATTGCCATTTAAAGGGAGTTCACCCTTTTATAGCAGAAGCTGTACTGTAAATTTAACACCACTGAAATATTTGGTAATTCTAAAATTAGGAGATATGGTATAGTTTCATTTCAGATAAACATATTCCCACTGAATTTATTTTATTCCTTTTCCCTTGCCACCAAGTTCCACATAAAACATGGCAATTTTACTGCAAATTAACAATTTGCAATAAATAGTATCTCTCATTCTTATTTTTCCATAACTCTTCTCCCATTCATTTTCTCTCATGGAGTAAGATGAAAAAGTTGTGTGGCTTACACCTCTTGCCTTGATTCAACTTAGAAATTCATAACTTACTGAAAACACTCCCTTGTGTGGTGGTGTGGCTGTAAGTTGGATACTATATGCATTTTTACAAATAATGTTCATCATCAACACTACTCAGCAGTGTAAAACTGGGATAATGCCATAGAAATATAAATCTGTGTTAATCATCCAAGAAAATGATTCTTTGTATCTCAGTCTTAAAAATGCTGGAGCAGAAAGATCATACAATCTGACCATCTCCAAATGTTATCTGATGTCACTTTATACTTCAAATAGTTCAACTTGACACCCTGTTTGGTTTACCCTTTGCTAAGACGGAGGTTTTACCCTGAAATGACCTCTTTCGCTTTGCAGTGAATTGTTTTAGTAAACAGATGGATCATTTGGCTCAAAGAAAAAACCCTAAAATATTCATTTAGGTCTGCAAATCATTTCTGTGAATGAGAACAGTAAATTCTAAGTGCCTGAGGCTTCAGACCTTTCAGGAGTTGGAATTCTGCATGAAATTGGGTTGTTAGTGTCTTGCCTTTATTTTATGAGATTTATTCTTTGTGCTACATGAAGCTCCATACTAGAAAATTGTTAATTACTCATTTAATTGAAATATTTGAGGAGTTGTATTTGTTTCACTTTATTGGCAGCTTTGCTGAGCAATGTGTAATTGTATTTAGTACAACTCTGTGTTGCATATTTCATTAAAAGATTTGTTTTCCAATCTGACTTGTAATCAACTGCACATATTACTTCAGTGAAAGATATGAAAATTCCCCTAACTTTCATAATTAAGAACATCAATATAATCAGCTTGTGTTGTAGTCTGTAAACCACAAACTGAAGGGATGACAAAGGAGTAATTCAATCCCATTTTGTGGGTATGGGCTATCATGTATGATATGTTCATTTTGTCAATAGAATAGGAAAGAATCACTCACAAGCTGTGGCGTGGTTATACTTACAGAGAAAAATAAAACTTTTTAAAGTCATTGTAATATATATATATATATTTTTTAAATTGATGCTCATCTCATAAATAATATATTGTCTAGTATAATTTAATTTGTGACATCTATGATAAAAAAAGGACCTATTTATTAATTGTGATAAAGGGCATTTAAATTTCACCCATTTAACCTGTCTGCTGGGCTCCGTAAGACACACTGGTATTTGCTTAAGGCTTCCAGAAAAGCACCTTATCTTAATTTGCAGGGATCAAGAAATGAAAATTCCACTTCTTCCCTTGACTCTTCAGTGCTGTGTTATTAGAGGTTGTTTGTACTAATAATTTGTTTGTAAATATCACTTCCAGAACCTGCTGCCTGATTTCAAAAAGTAGAGGTATATTTCACATCTTACTAAACTTGTTAACAGATAGGCATAAATGTGCCCAAAAGGCTATTTTTCTGTTATTATTTCTTTTTTTTTTTTTTCCTGTGGGTACAAATTGGTCCTGTTTTTCCGGCATATGACAGAAATAAGGCTTTGACACTACCCCATAACTCATGACCCTGAGGTCATATGGTAGAATTGTTGTGTTCTTATTTGGACATGGCAGTGTTTCAGATGGCAAGGATTAGCGGACAGAACATAAGGATTTTGGATCTTACGGATTTTCTGGATCCAGTTTATGGCCACAGAATCTCAGTCAGACTTACAGGGTTGTCACCTGCTTAGCAGTAGAGCACTGAGGGGTAAAGGCCTCCCTGTCCTCCCCTCTGCCTGTTGCTGCTACTGTGTGCATGTGAGAAACAGGGAATATTTCTGTGCCATGGGAATAGCTGGCATCCCTGGTACAGCAAAATCCACTCCAACATAGATTTCTTTTATTGTTATTCAGAACTAGACCTACGCTCTCTGCAGTATTGTGACAAGCATGGGAGCATTTGAGGAGGATGTTTATATGGTTAAAATTCTGCACCAATCTGTCTTTGTGTAGCAAGATTGTAGAAATAACTCCTCTTCTTTCTCCTTTTTTTTTTTTTCACAGTGGACCTCAGTCTCTCTGCCATTTAAGTGGGAATTCAGTGTCAAATAAATAGCTTCTCCTGAATTCAGTGGGTAGTAAAAGAATAGGTTCTTTCTTCAGTATGCCTTGTTTTAACTACTGCATACAATACAAATCTCTTATGAAGGAAATTATTAGATATAATTGGGGCTAGGGTTACCTGTAATACAGTATTTTACAGAGGAGGGTAGTGATAAGAGAAAATTCATAAATGTTACTTTTTTAGACTACATTTGGCAACATCTTCCAGAGTAGCAATAAAGCAAAATTTTCACAGGCTACCTAGGCATCACATCATTTCATTGATAGGAAATCTGATCACTGATGTAACTGTTTCCTGGAGTTAGTAAGTTAAGTGTCAAACATAAACCCAAAGAGATGAAATAAAAATCACTACAGTCTTTATCATAAGCAGATTTCAAAGAGAACTACATTACACTATATAAAACTTGTCTCTACTCTTGTCTTCACTGTGGCTAAAATAACACAGTTAATCAGAGATATGGCAAATCATTAAAAATGTTGAGGAAGAAAACAGATGGACTCCAGCCTTCCTGTGTATCTGGAAAGTGGCAGGCATGCCTCCCACACCTGCTCTCAGGCAGTGGGTTGTCACCTCAAGCTACTGCCAGCTTAGGACATGGCAGATTCAAGAGCCTGAAATCCTCTAAGGATTAGGCTGAATCTACACAATAGTCTTGAGTGCAAATGTTTGCCTTTAACGTGTTTATTACCACGTTGCATGTATTCATCATTTATGTCCAATGCCATTGTGTCCCACAGCAGCAGAGCATCATTTCAGATTCCAGCTTTTGCCATCTGAAATGATGTGACACAACACTAAGATTTTATAACATAAGCATTTTGGGCCATTCAAACCCATGCTTCTGTTGCACTAAAATTCTCTGGGTTCTGATTGTGAAGCATACAGCATGGTCAAACATGGAGGAGACAGGCTGATTTTGAACAAAAGCAGCAGCTCTCCAGAGAAATGCTTGTCCAAACTGTAATCAAGAAAATCCTTCATGTCTCCTGTTAATTGGTGATTCGCCCTGCATATCTGATGGGCAGATTTATGGCTTCAAGCAAAAATCTCTTTCAAGGGATTCTTAATAAAGGGTTAAGGGTGGGATTTTCAAAAGTACCAAGGGGAGTTCTTTCAGTGGCAGTTGAACATCCCCCTCTACAAAGCACTTTTGAAAATCTCACTCATGTTTCCATGATGCCAAATTTGGACGAGGTTTTTAATTTTTACTCTGTGTTCAGAGAGAAAAGGAAGACAAAAACCAAGAATACCCTAACCTTATTTTTTAGCATTATGCTATCTAATTAAGGCAATTTTAACCAAGCATACTTCAAAGGATACGGAACTTTGAAAATCATTACTTGTTTAATCTTGCTGCATAGAAGATGTTGGTGTGTTTGGTATTTATTCACAGAAGGTACTAATTAACTCCTTGGGAATGGGTAGCTTCTCACTAAGCCTTCTGTCAGGCAGTAATAAGTGGAGCAGGGAAAAACTTAAGTTGATTTTTCAGTATTTCCTTTTTTCCACATATTCATGCCATAAAAGTATTGAAGCAGGATCCTCTGGTATAGCTCTATTTAGCTGTCTGAGTTGTCATTCCTTTTTTTTCTTTTTTAAAAAGACATTTAAAATATCAACCAAAGTTAAAATGTAAGTCCTAATGCATATATTCACTTCCTTACTTAAGGAGTGGCTTCAGCCTATGGATATAGCCAGGTGTTGAATTGGTACAATATAAGTAAGAGCTCTGAAATTCTGAAATCTAACATTACCATTCTGGTAAGATTTTCAGTCTTGATTTCCTAATGCAGGATCAAGTTCTTTAAGTTAAACGAATGTCAGTTGATGGTCTTTAATAGTTTATTCCTTTAGCTATGGAATTTTTCACTGAATTTTGAGAATTTAGCAAATATTCTTTCTTGAGAAACCTCGAAGGTTGTGGCAACTTTGTAAAATGTCCGTGTCAAATTTGGTATTTTTTAAGATCAACTTGGCTGGTTTTATTTAAAAAGAAAAAGAAAAAAAAAGCCTAAAAAAAACCAGCCTAAGGTACTGGTAGAAGTTTATGATGGTTTGAGCCCAAGGTCTTCATACCATTTTAGTACCTTTTCAAATGAACGACAAAGGAAATTTAGAGTGTTTTTACCAGTTCAGTACCAGCAGAGGGCATTACAGCATAGTTCACTTAAAACTGTATATTTTGGAATCAATCCAGATAAGAACAAAGTACATTGGAGGTTAGATAAGTACTTTACTGAAAGACATGTATTTATCATCACATTGAATTGATTGAGAGGATTTCCCCATCATAATAAGAAAAGCCAGGGTTTTTAAACCTCGTTTGCTT